ACCGTTGTTGTCAAAACTTGGCCTTTTTAAGATGAGTGAACTTCAACCCCCAAAATTCCCCAGCCAGCATAGCATAGCCGGCTGGGGAATTCTGGGAGTTGAAGTCCACTCATCTTAAAGAGGCCAAGTTTGGACAACACTGGTTTAGACCAAATAAGGTACAGAGATTCGTTTGCCATAATTTATTATTCAATTGAGAGTGGGAGTGGGGTAATAACTGGTATGAGGTCACTTTTCCATAATTAGTCACCAAAATAAGATGACGAAAGAAGAAATGGGTCAACATGTTGCATATGCTATATACATTGAGGAAACCTCTGACTAGGTGATAGAAATGAATATGAAGGTGATTTATCCCTACCTCAATCCCATGGGTTTATATATAGTAAGCCTCCTGTTTAAGTGCTCACTGTTGATAGATACTTTCAAAAGATTAGTTGCAGATGTTCAAACTAAGATCTAGCTGATGCTTAGGGTTCATCCAGGACATCCTTGAGGCAGCTATAATATGAAAAAGCAATATCCACACCAAGAATTATTCCTCCATTTTCGAAAATACAAAATTCAACTATGCTACCTATTTTGGTTTTGTTTCCTTTTTAAAAAACAAGCATTTAGATTTATCACTCACTTTGTTAATATAACTATCTGATTAATTTTCTTTTCTTTTCCATCTTCTGAAGGTAACTTTATTTTGCTTAAGGATGAAAAACAAATGTCAAAGCTTCTCTGCCTGTCTGTGTGTATGCACACGTGGGTGATCTTTACATTGCCCTAGTAAAAAAAGAATGCTCAGTTATATATATTTAGATCTTTTTTCCCCTTTAAGTCCAATACAGTTTATGTTGCATTTCCTAAAATTGCCAGGTACTAGAATTGTAGGCAAGTAATTATTACATTGCAAACATGTTTCTGCCTAGATTTGTAGTTACTGTGGGCCTATGATCTAAACTTTGCAATGTTTATGTTCTTCCATTTCCTGAAAGTAATTAGCATATGTATCTTTTTGTGGCAGACTACAGACTGCGGTATCTGGATTCTGCTCACCTGCATTTCTACTCTGGCAGCCTGAGGATCCTCAATCGGCAGTATTCTTTGGATCACGGGCGGATGGAATCCAGAACTTTCTGGACAGAGAGATCAAAGATGCAGAAGATGGTGGGATTTCATGAGGAGAATAGCATTTTAGACTGGGTAGTTTAATGGATACTAGCATAAGGGTGGGCAGCTTTTTTTTACTAGAGCTGCCCCAGTCACTTTGCAGTAGTATAACATGCAAAATGAAATATGTCCATATTCTCTATTCGATTATCATTTTCATCTACTCAGATCCTGCTAATGTGCTTTGTATCAGGTTGTGGATAAAAATATTGGAACAATTTAAAAATATGGTGATCTTCATCAGAGCTAGATAATTCACCATCATGTACTAAATGAGAGGTGACTTGTATTGTTAAGGGGAACATGTTTCTTTGTGATGGTACCTCAGCCTGACATTATTTAACAATCTCCTTTACAGTTAAAAGACCTAATTCTTGCCACTAACCTGGCCTCTTTCTACAACTCCAGTGCTGTCTATGCCTTTGGGTGAGTGAAGCATTGTTAGTTTGTTTGAGAGTTATCATAGAACATGGATGGTCAGAAGTAGAACTTGATCTAACTGGCTTATAGTAGATCTGCTGGATCTCTAATTCACCATTGTTGAATTAATAATTGTTCATTTCTATACCACACTTCCTAAATGGCTCCGAATGGTTTACATTAACCTTTAAGCAAATAACATAAATCTAATATTAAAACCACTTAAAACTACTAAATATTTTTTAAACCAGGCTGCAAAGATGGTGTGTGTGTATATATGTGTGTGTATACGTATGTATGTATGTATTCTTGACCTGTAAAACAGGAACATTATTAGTTGCTTTTAACCCAAACTTTGTGCAGTTATACAGCCTGGTTTTAGAGTTGTATTGGGTTACTGATTCATAATAATAGGGTATCTGTGAGTTTATACTTGTCTGTGCAAGTTATTCTAGTTGGGATGCAGGAGATTATTGGTTTCATCCAAAAAGATCTTTTCTATCTGACTGTACCTCATCTGAATTACAGTTTTGCATCTGGCCATCTGAATGGTAGACTTTCTAGCAACCCCCCCCCCCCAAAAAAAAACAGGGTAGATCTTGCTAGTCTGAGACCTGTCTATATCTTTCTTGGATGTTGCGATATAAACATTTTAAAAATTGCTAGATATATTTTGAATTGGGTCATTGGGTTGAGTTGTCCCTTGTGATGGTTGGAAATGTTCTATCTACCCTAGCTTCTGTAGTAGTTTCATGATGATTGTAGGAAACTGGAAAGAGGTGGTAATTGTGACAATTGTCTTCCTATTAGAGAAGGGTCTTTGACATGTTTCTTCTGGCTCGCCTTTCAAGTCCCAAAAGATCAGCATGAGGAGATGACTGTGGAAGATGTAAAAGACACACTCTATAATCAACTTCTTACCAGCTTCAACCGAACAGGGTACTTCTCTTATCAGACTGAATACAAAATTGATCCAGAATCCTTAATTTTATTGGGTAGGTACTAACTATCTATCTTTCCTTAGTGTCTCCAAGAGAGCAGCTTTCAAAATTGAAAATCAGATCTCTTGATACTGGGGGGAAAAAGAGAAAGTGTAATGTAGTTATGTAGGGTGGGGTGGCATATCTACATACCTATTGTCAATGAAGAGGAAATAATCTATCTTGTAAAACATGTCTTCTCTAGAAGAAACCACATTGAAAAACTATTTTTAATCCAAAATAACTGTTAAAAGATGCTAGATTACACATACTAAAAATAGTAGTATACATAGGAACGTGATCCAACCAAAAGTCCCATTGATATCAGTGGAAAAGTCTTGTATGTGTTTTATATTTAGCTGGATGTCTGTTTATTTGAACATTTTAGCCCTCTTGAGCCATTTGAATAAGTGAGGAAGTGCTTCCTTTCTTTTATAACAAAGGTCCTGTCTTTCTTTGAAAGGGCATCTCTTTGAATTTGCCTATTTGGATCCCTGTATGCTATCACCAAATGAGTAGCATTGTTGCCTTCTGATAGTACTGACTGAAGATGAAGGGAGCTGGGTCTAGATCTAGCTGTGTCTTTTCAATTTAATGTCAGAGGTATACAAAGGATCTAGCATGGATCACAATGGGGATAAATTAGATGCATGGATCTTGGTGGCGGTGATTGTTTTTAATCCTCCCAGATGTGAAATATTTTCTCATTTAAGAATATAAGGTATATCTATATTGCTAACTTAAACTAGAAAATACTATTTCCTCTTTCCAGAGAATCCTGAGAACTGTAATTCTGTGGCAGTGGTTGGGTTGTAATTTCTATAAGAACATTCTGAGTATGCTCTTCAAATTAAAGAAAGAACATTACAATATTCATAGGAATTTACACATAAACTTGCCAGTTCTTCAGGAGCAAGTGCCTCCTGTCCTCTGGTGAGCAGATGACTTGTTGCCACTTACCTGGAGATGTCATTTCCACTCCAGTTTTCAAACAGGTAAGAAGCAGCTGGAGTTTCTTCTGAGCAGTAAAAAAGTCTCCAGTTATTCCTCACCTTTTTCAGATCTACAAATAAGGAACATCTCTTTTTCAAGAGATGCTTGAAAGAGATCCTTATGCACATGTCAGATACCTGAAGAATGCCACCAATTTTTGTTTTTCCAAAATCATATTACAGAACATTGTGCCTAACCATACAAAAATTTCATTAGCTCATAATATATCAGGGTTTTCCCCCTTTTTTCTTGTTGGATTTAAATTTTATCTCTCTTGGCCTGCTACCTAGAATCATACACACACCCCCAAACACAAATACACACACATACATATATAATTCTGTGTAACTCTGCTCAGATGTCAGTAATTTGTATTATAATTTTGCAAGCCAAAACTACAAATGAACAGTTATTTAAATGTCAAAATTTATGTTCTACTATGGATCATGTACTTGTTTTTAAAGTGAATTGTGTTTGTTGACACTTCTAAACAAAATTTGAGGCAATCTGACAAAGTCTTATCCTAAGGACAAATCTTAACACTGGGAGCAAGTCATAGAATTTCATGATATAACTTGGACATAAGTATGAATGATTTTTTTAAAAAATTAGACACAGAGTGATTTCTGCATTTGTCCATGCAGATACCACAGGACACGACTAATAGTATTTATCGTATTTTATGGTTTATTCATATATGACAAATATCTTTTTCTAGTGCCATGAGGAACAGGTCTTCTCAATTTGTTTCTATTAATTCTCATTCAATTGATAAAAGAGAATTTCAGAAATTCTTTCAAAAGAGAAGAGAATTTGAGAAACTCTCATGGGTGGATTGTGGGTCAATAACTTTATTAGAGTGCTGTATTGATAATGGAGGTATCTTTTAGTTCAGGAAGAGATTATAAAAGCTTTATCACTTGCGGGGTGCAAAGACACTTGATTTTTTTTACCTAAAGAGCAGCTGAAAACGTTTGTATTTCAGATACAAACCCCTCTGTGCAAACTAGGGTGGGGCACAAATAGCCTCACAAGATTCTGTACCAGATTTATTGGTAGAGAAATAGGTGGGCCATTTTTCAGAATGTCTTCAGGGGAAGGAATAATTCTCCAACAATTTTGTAAGGGCAGAACTCCCCCATAACAATAATAGTAGCAAAAAGAGAGTTATTTATCTCACTTTCTTTGGATTGAATTGTAGCATGAAAAGCCAGGGAGGCTCATGTCCTCTGGAAAGATGATTGCACAATGAAAGTCAGGGTATTCGCACATACCCCTTGGCCATTTCATAAATGAATAAGACCTAGAATCTCATACTCCATGAGCAGAAATTTCTGTAGCACTCTCAACTCTTTCGCTGTTTGCAGAAAGAGAAAGAGATTGAAAATGATGCACTGGATCTCCATGCTGGACCTCCCAGATGATCTGCAACATTCCCAGACAGGGAAGAGAGGGGAAATGCCTTGCCTATTCTACTCAGAACTGGAGAATGGACTCATATCTCCAGATCTGCTTTCAATATTTCTCACAGATTAATTTAGCAAGGAGGCTTGTGGAAGGCTGAAGGTTGCATTAAAGCAACCCTACTCTATGATGCCTCTACCAGCTTTTTGTACCAACACAGAAACCTAGAAGCATTATACCTGGAAGCTCAGATAAAGTACACAAGTGGTTAATCTCAGCTTTAGAGTTTTATAGTTGTGTGCATTTTTTTTTCTCCCCTTCTACTCATGCTAAGCAATCAGGGCCCTCCTTAACTGCCTTTTGCTTCGTTTCCCTTGTCAAAATCACCTGATATTAAAGACAAATTCAATGTCTTGTGTACTTTACTTACCTAAGCTCATTTTCTTTCCATTTCTTTCTTGCTCTTGCTTGAGTGTTGCACACTGTTAAATTCTGCAGATATGTTTTGCATCCTGTAGTGATTTTTCAATACATTTCTTAGTGTGGCTTCCTAATGATTCATCCCACTGAGTGTCATGATTCTCTTCCATGCTCCTTCCCTCCCACACAAAAGAATTTGGTAGGATTTACTACCCCTTGTGATGGTTTCAACTTTAACCACTTTCATCCTGTGACACTGCCTAGCCTAAGCAACCTAAGGGCTGGCTAGCATACCTGGAAGAAATACTGTATGTAAATTGGGAGAGGGGGTCAGAATTCAATTCAGAGGTATAAGCTTCCATATTTTAACAGGTAGCGCTTCCCATATATCCTTTTAGCATTACAATATAAATCACAGGATTGCTGGAAATTCATGAAAGTACATATCCTAAGTCATAATCTAGCACTTTGGACAGAAAAGCTTCAGAAATGAATCGGGAGGTGATTGAGAAGCATCAAGGGCTTCCCAAGTTATTAGGAGAGATACAAAAGGACAGGAGTCATAGATGTGCAAAAAAAGAAAATGAATTTTTAATAAAGGTAGGGAAAAAGCTCACTGAAAGAGGGATAAGGAGTAAACCACATATAAAACCTATCACATTGCATAAGGCAACAGTGCTAAAATCTTTGGGATCATATAATTTGGTCTGGCTGTAGCTTTTCAGGGTTGCAGAAACAGCCCTAACTTGAGAGGCACCAGTGGTGTGATGTGCCAATATGACTGCTTGCTTTACTCCCATAAGTAGCTCCTGGCCGACATCAAGGTTGTTGAATCACTGGCCACAGCCTGCATGACCAGCACACTGCTGATGGGTCTGTTACTAACCTTTGGGGAAACAGACATTTCAAGCAATGATGGCAATAGAGGTTGGCAGCGCTGAACACCTGATGCCCTTTGTCAATGGAAGAGCTGCCTTTGACCTGCCCAGAATTTCTCAAAAATTCTCAGCCCTCCACCCCCCGTGGGCTGTGGCCTCTTTGGATCATGCCTTTACCAATCACCAGAGAGCCCATAGGGGACAACAACAGTGCAGATATGTCTTTTGTTTCAACATTCCACTTCTGCAATTTCAAAAATGCCATCAGTCATATCATCATAATGGTTTTCAGGTGGTGTGGGTTGTTTTTAGGTGGTGCAGGTTTTTCGCCCCCAGGCTGGGTTTGCATAGCTCAGGGATTTCCCAACTTTTGGGCTGGACAGCACATTTGGAATTTTTGTGTGCACTCTTGTGAAATTCATTTCAATTTAATTCTTTCAGTTTGCATGGCCAACCCTTCACCAGGTGACTGAGTGGCTGACCACATTAAAAACAACTAAAAACACATCAATAATAATAATAATAAATAAAAAAACAATATAAATACACCTGGTTATTACAGTACTCATTCACAAAATGGCTGTCATACCAAACCAACATGTAATTTACTCACATAGTACCTGTTACCATATCTTGCGTCCTACCCGCACCCACATCACCAGCAGGGTGATTCCTACTACCCCTGCTTATGTTTGCCCTTTATTTGGACAAATAGACACCCTTCCACAGTCCTGAGCTGCAGCTGCACATCATATTTATTTTCTAACAAAGTTTATGGGGCACATTTCGGGTCAAAGTTGTTTGGGGAAATAGTGATGGAAATGGAAACTGGCATTTTCCTCTGCAGCATGTATCTTCTTTTATTTTCATATTTTTAAAGCAAAAGGTCAGGTGGGAATGGGAGCCTGTATGTGCTGAGAGAGATGCCTGTGAGCACATTGGTGTCCTAATATTAAAATATATTGTGATTTATTTGATTTTAACTTAGCCCAACTTGTGAACCTATCACTGTACACCCTGGTTTATAGCTTAGAATGACGTGTGAAGTCAACCAAATGTATCTTCAAGACAGTGTGATTAAGCCAATTAGCATAATGTGTGAAGCCATTTCTCACACTTTGCTTAAACTAATCATAGCTTCCAATTCAGCCATCATGATAAACCACACATAATTTAAAGTAGGAAGCGATGGCTACCCATCTCTTTTGACACCTGTTGGAGAAGGAAGGGAATGCTTACAAAATGAGTTTGCAGAATGTTTAAATTGTGGTTTAGAATTAGGTCTGAACTGAAATATTGTTGAAACTTGAAAGAGAAGAGTAAAATGGGCAATATATGTGATTGAAATGAAGCTGGGCAAGGAGCATTGGGTAGTTTAGCTGTGACATCTCATGTATTTGTCTTCCTTTTTTCTTTTTCTTTTTTCTTTTGACAGAATCCAGTCTCAAAGACATAATAGTGCTGAAATCCACCTTGGGTAGGCTCTTTATTTCCCCCTTATTTTATTTATTTTATTTGGTTATGTTTGTTGCATTACAAAGTGGAAGTAAGGACTGTTGCAGACAACCCATCAATTAATATGACATCGGGGACCAAAATGAACTATTTTCATAGCATTCTGTATCATTTTAATGTTGCAATTGTATTTTTATATTGCTGCATTTTAGTACGGGCTGACTTTTTATCTGATGCTTGTTAGCCTCTCTTTAAGTTCGTTTTACATGAAAAAAGATGGTTAATAATAAATATGAGTCATAATAACAGCATGCATGATGCTAATTCTGCTCACAATACCTTTAACACCAGTTGCTTTCAGAATATGCAAGGCATCTGTTTTTCACACCTTAAAGCAAATTTCTGTCTGTATGTGCCATGTTAATTGAGTGTGTGGGTATGTATTAAATGTGTATGCCACCAACTCTTTCCAGACTCACAGAGGCTTACCTAACAGTGTAAGAAAACACCCCCCAAAAATTAGAAAATAACACAATACAAATTCATTAACTAAAACCAAGTGTTATAATACACAATAAATAAATACTGTAAACTGAAAGTGCCTTTCAGAAAATTCAGTCCTCATTAAATTCTGGAAGGTGATCAGCAAGGGAACCAGTCTAACTACTGGGGGAAGCTGTTATAAGCATTTTCTGGCTTCATCTCATCTTGCCTTGTGAAACTGGGGTATTATAAGCAGCTTCTCTTGGAAGAACCTCCTTGGACAGGTCAAATCTAATTGGAGTAAGTGGTCCTAGTATGTGGGAGCAACTGCTTTCTGTGCTGCATAGCAATATATAGGTCTGAATAAATCAATACTTATTTCTGGGTGCCAACAATATGCTTGTTTTCCTGGTGTATGGCTCTTACCTAACAGTACATATTAATGCAAGCAAGGCTTCCATCAATATATTCCACGGCCAAAAGTTACCCTTGCATACATAAAGGCTGAGGATTGCATCAGCATGATAAATGTGTGTAAATTCCATTAAATGCTCCTAGTTTCAAACCTGAGATTGGATGGATGGATGGATGGATGGATGGATGGATGGATGGATGGATGGAGACAGACTTATTTCCAATGGAAGAATTACTGAAATCACTGGGACAATGGTACAAAAAATATCTATTTTGGGATAGATTATACATAGAATTTGGGAATAAAGAGGAATAGAATGGTTAGCAAGGCTTTACATCAAAATAGGAAAGAGTAGCACTGAAAAATTGGATATATCAGTAAAAAACACATCAAAAGCCCTGCTTTTATGCAGAGCTGTATTTTTCTTTCCCCCTAAATCTGTGGGTGGATTGAATGTTTTATTTCCTCCATGTCATCTCTGATCAAATGCATGGTACACTCTGCAATTTTGTTTGTCTCCTCTGTTTAGGCTGCTATAGGTACAGCTACATCCGGGAGGATGTGGTCCTAAAACTGAAGGGCCCAGATTTTTTAGCCTCCAGCTGCCTTTGGCATCTCCATGGCCCCAAAGGTCACATGGTCAAGCTTCACCTGGAATGGACTCTCTCAGAATGCAGGGACCGATTGGCAATGTATGATGCAGCTGGGCCACTGGAGAGACAGCTCATCACTTCGTAGGTACCCTTGATTTTGTAGCAGCAACAGTGGGAAGAGGAGAAGAGTAGTCATGAATTCCATATCTTTCCCATAATCCACTTCTAAGCAGAATTTAGTTTAGGTTCAGGATGTACGGGAAGTTTCATTTTATAGAATTATGGTCCAGATAATCTGTGGAAGTAGTACACACTGAACTAACTAATGAAAAGTTACTAATGATTTACAATCATTAGTAAGTAAGGCATTTTTCCAGTCTCCAGGGCAGTTGGTTTTTGTTTTCGGTTAGTGACAGGGAAAGGGAAAGGGAGGGAAAGTCTGGTGCAGTTTTGTGGGGCAGTTGGCTTACAAAGCTATTCCTGTGCTGGTGCTTGATGTTAAAATTGAAATTAACTTTCTGGGGGATTCCATCCCCTTTCAGCCATGCTTTCTAAGCAGAACCTCCAGCATTGAAATCTGGGGTTTAAAAAAACAAAACAAAATGCAGAGCAGGACAGGAAAGCTCCCATCTATAGCCATCATTAGCTCCTCCTCCCCAAAATGCATGTTGGGCCAAAAGATTTCTTGGTGTGCAGCACTTTGTCAGAAAATTGGAAAGATCTGACAAGAATATGGAAACCACTTACATTTTCATACATGTATTATATGAAGTAGAACAGGTTTCTAGCCCCTAAGGAGGTAAATAAATATTTGAAGGAAAAGACTTATGTGTTCTGCATGACCTATCCAGCCACTATCATTTATTGTTGCCAAAATATTTTATTTATCTAGGCTTGCTTCTTTCTTTCTTTCTTTCTTTCTTTCTTTCTTTCTTTCTTTCTTTCTTTCTTT